GTGTGTGTGTGTGTGTGTGTGTGTGTGTGTGTGTGTGTGTGTGTGTGTGTGTCCACCGTGATTGTTTGTCGTCCTTTTCACCGCTTGTCTTTCTCCTGCCTCAGCCAGTCCTTTTGAGACATGTCAGTCGGTGTGTTAGGGAGGCACCACGCCCTCGGTGTCACTTTTTCCCTCGATCTTCTACCAACACCCCCCCTCACCTTCCCACAAAACAACCCACCCCCTCCCACCTCTACTCCTCCCCCCCACAGCCTATCCACTTTTTCCAGGACAGTGGTGAGAGTTTGGATACGGTGTTAATTGTTTTGACTGTATGCAGTAATCCCCCGCTGTTTCAAGGGGAATGCGGACTGAGACCGACTGCAAATAAAAATTCAGTTGAATAACTGCCTATATATTGATGTATTAAAACCATTATGACGAGCGTTTTACACAGCATCCCAACTTTTAGGAATCGGGTTAAAAAAATGTCCTGAAATATTTAAAATGTAACAAAGTTCAAATAAAATTGTAATTTGAATACAACTTTTTACTCTATTTACATGTTTCAATTTTGATCTCTTAATTAAAAAAAACAGCTCATTCAAAACTTAATTACGATTTGTTGAATTTTTGGGACTGTAAAATGCGGAAATACCTGTGTATCCCATTTCGTGACTTTTGTGATGAAATATTAAAACATCAAACTTTTCTTCCTGCGCTCTTTTGTGAGTAACATTGTGTATAAATTTATTTGGTTTTGGTGGACATTTTACAGAGCATCCACACTTTTATCTAGGCATTGTATACACGCATTTTTTGTGAGTGTTCCATATCCCGTGCGCGTGTGTGCCCGTGTGTGTGTGTGTGTGTGTGTGTGTGTGTGTGTGTGTGTGTGTGTGTGTGTGTGTGTGTGTGTGTGTGTGTGTGTGTGTGCCGCACGCGCTGACTGTGCACGCCACCTCCGTGCATGCCTGCATGCCCCCCCGTGCGTGTCACACCAGAGGGCTGCGTAAGGCTGCGTTCAGGCTGGTAACTCCCCGTGCGTTCTCTGGCTGTTCCTAAACTAGGTGTCAATTCACAACAGGCTGCAGACCTACCAACTGAGTCCGCCCAGCGTTGAGCCGACACCCCCCCTGGCCCTGACCGCCCCGCCCGCCTTGCTGGGCCCCGTCCCGGCCGGGGAGCTGCGCCCGGAGACGCTGATCCAGTGCCAACAGATCGTCAAAGTCATCGTGGTGGACCAGAGCGGGCGGGGCCGCATGGAGGCCTTCCTCAGCCAGGGCCCGGCCGCCCACCAGCTCCTGCGCTCGGCCATGTCCACGCCTGTCCATGTCCAGGGCGACGGGCCTCAGCCCCCCCTGCCGCCGCCCCCGCCCCCTTACAACCACCCGCATCAGTTCTGCCCGCCGGACTCGCCTATGCCGCTCCACCACACCATACCGCTCACTCGAAGGCGCAACTCCAGCGGCTCCCGCAGCATCGTCTGAGCCCCCCCACAAACCAAACGGTTCCTATGAGACCCCTGCCACCGTGGCACACGACTTTTTTGGGATGCCATTTTGTAACGTCAATTGGCTTGCTCGCTGAGCATCCCTCTCCCAGGTTTCACCATCTACAAGACACATTTGGACTGCTTGCGCACAGGCGGCAATCGGCAAAAAGATTCTCCTAAAAGCAGGGGTGTGCAAACTTATGTGCTCAAGGGCCACATTTGATTTTCAAAATGAACAAGTGAGCCAGCTCATTTGCGTTTGTTACAAAAATGCATTCAAATGTTTATGCCAAGTATGTAACCTGCATAATAATTCATGAGTTATTTATTTTCTTTATACATAATTTATTTAATGATAATTAATTTATGAATGACTAAATTAAACTTTTTACTCAGATTTTCTGTAGGGTATTTTATGTAAAATTATTTAAATATTTATTTAATACATAAATATAATGATTTAATTGTACTGACATATGTTTTATGTAAAAATGTAGTAATAAGTACAAAAAATATAACTATATTTATATTTAATTTAATTTGAAGTAATTAACAAAATATTTCACTGAATATAAAGAATGTTTGAGTCATATTTCTATTATTTAGTAATGGTTTTACAATTATTTTAAATAACAATAATGTAATTTATATATTTTATTCAAAACTATTTCACTTGAATCTGTTAACGAATTATTTAATTAAATAAAATGCATTTTACTTGTACACATTTTATTATTCATAGATTTTTATTTTTATTACACAATTATGTAATTAAATAAAACATCAAACCAACGTTATTTTATTATTCAATTATTCAATTCAATAATTATATGACATAAATGAATGCACAAGAAATACATTATAAATGGCTAATTTAATGCAAAAATCTGTATTAATTGAAAAGTATATAAAATGAATGAATACATGGTGAAATGAATTGAACAAACATTACAGGAGTGTTGACACCGCAAATGTTCGGTGAGCCGGATTTAAGGGCCGCGTGTGGCCCACGGGCCTTACTTTGCTCACCCCTGTCTGAAAACGTTATTTAAAAAAAGGATGTTTAAAAAAAAAGAAAAAAAGAAAAGATGACTCAGATCTCAGCACAAGTCTCACTTCTCGGGGCTGCAATTATTTTGTTCTTATCTACTGTGGAAAGAGAAGAAGGCTGCTTATGGCTGCAGTTGTTCCTTGAACGATCAGATTGCGTCTTCAAGGGAGGAAAAACACAGAGAGAGAGAGAGAGAGAGAGAGAGAGAGAGAGAGAGAGAGAGAGAGAGAAGGTGACAAAGATGTCTCCCCGACATGTACGTCACACGCGTGGGCTTGTCACAAAAACAAAGTACGGTTTTAGTATTGCGTTAGCAAGCAGTGTTCGGGCCATGCTGGAAAGATAAAAAACAAACAACATCAAAAAAGTCAAATTATGAGAAAAAAAATTAATGTCACAATTATCAAGAGTAAAATCCTGACATTTTTTTTCAGGGGGGAAAAAAAACCCCAACCCTAAACTATAATTTTATGGGAAGTACAGATACCAATTATCATTATTGGGTCGAGACCAGCTCTTTTTCAAGGTATCGGGTTCTCCTAAAGAATGCAGATACCAGCCACCGATACTAAAGGCATGTTTTTTTTTTTGCATCGAGTAAGCTCCCCCCCCCCTTGCCTGTAGTCGGTGCTACACTGCGCCCATTTGACACAATGGCGAGGCATCATTTGTTTTCCAATATTTTTCCAATTTAATTTAAAATGTTACTTTTCATGTTTCATTAATTTTTTTTATCTTTTTAGTTGTCCCTTTTTAATGTCATTATCACACCTTGTCAAAATAAATCATTCATTCAGCATGTGGTGTCAGAAAGGTCCCCCGCCCCCGACCCCTATTAAATGACCACAATCTCGTAATATTATCACCTTCGTTCCATAAAATCCAGACTTTTCCAGTCAGACGGTATACTCATACCGTATACAATACAACTTGTAATTTTGCGCTTTAGACATACTTTTAAAAATTACGACTAGTTAGCCGGTGGAAAAAAAAATATTTTGGGCGGGGTGAAATTATGACCTAGTTCCTTAAAAATGGCCCCCATTGTCCCTGTAACTTAACAACTTCATTTTCATAAAATGAAAACGACTTCATGTGACATTTTTTCTTTCACTAATACTGCTTGAATCTGATCATTTTCTCGTTTTATTACAAAGTTACATTTTTTTTTCAACCTTTGTCTCGTTTAATGTCAACATGATACCTCACATGACTGTTGTATTTTTTTGTCTTTTCAGTGTGGCCTTTATACATTTGACTGACATGAAGTAGCAGGAAAGGCTCGCACCTGCCTGACTTCCAATTCCCCCTGCTCACACTGCGACCGGGGGCTGATCATGCTTCCCCCCGCCTCTTGTACATTCACTCTTACTGGCTTTCTCCACTGTGAATATTGTTGTTGTTGAAGGCCATTTATCAGCCGGGAAACTCTCACTTATAGCTTTAGTTTGAGGAAGAAAAATAATGCCACCACACACACACATAGCGGTGGTCGACTTAGGTCCACTCGTAAATGCTTTTTGCACTTTTTACCTTCCGCCACAGTGACAATGTATTGAAAAAAAACAAAACAAAACAAAACAAAAGAGGAAATAAGAAAAAAACAGCGTCGGCAAGATGATTGTGGTGAAGTTGAAATCATGGCATTTCGGTTGGGACGCTTTGTACAGCAGAGACGCACCGAAGCACGTCTTCTACTTTTTTTTTTTTTTTTTTTGCACCACAGAATATATGAAATATATATTGTAAATACATAGATTCTATTCTGAGAACGTGATCTCGCATCCGTGTGTGCGTGTGTCTACGTCTGCTGAATTTGTACAGAGAAGAGTCTAGTTTAAAAACAAGAGAGACAAACACAGAGCTATAGTTCTTATTATTATTCGGGATGACTATTGACGTCTCATATCGGGCGTTATGAAGTCCTGCAGCCGAAGCGGGAAAAAACGGCAAAAGCTTTTATAGGTTTTAGAGCGGTTACCATGGCAACACCGATATTACTATTATTGTTACAATGGTCATTACGGTACTATTGTGTCATTAAGAGGAGCTGTGCAAAGGGCTATGCTGTTTGGGTGATTACACACACATGCACAAACGCAGTCGGCAAATCAACACAACATCCATTTTAGGAAATGCTTGTCTTCTCTCTGCTTAGTTGTTTGGATTTTTTTTTTTCTTTCTCTCGACTCTCCCATTGACTTGAAGAGCGCCATTCAGCATGTAAAGCTTCCAAAGCGGACGCAAAAGCGGCTCTAGTCTGTGTTTGTATCATAAACGTCGCGTCCGCTGATGTCATTTTCTACGATTTTTAATTTAAGGCGGGAATGCTGAAGAGCCTCCAGAATTCCACAAATTTTCATGGCAAAATTCCCCAGACTTGTTTACACGTTTTCCAACTCCTGCATGTTTCTCGGTGGATTCAAACCACTCCAATGTCAAAATGTTCGGGACGGCTTTGTCATATTCCAAAAATGCCCACTTTGTCCTCGGAATTCATAAACATCCCAACCAATGGTGTGGTTTTAAAAATTGGCGCATCTTTGTCCCCCCCATTTTCTCAATGTCTTAACCCATTTCCTACATTTTGATAACTTCTTCAGCATTTCTGTTCCGCATCAGCTCTTCAGCATTCACCTGCAAGTTCGATTGCATTTTACAGTTTTTATTATCTCTCTCCCTGTCCTGAGCCTTCCTCTGTCCCTCCTTCTCCGTGGTTGTCATGGCGGCCTCATACACCCTCAATAAGCACTGTCATGAATATTTGCACCCTCACACTATTTATAAACAAACAAAAAAAAAAATCAAATGGAAGATTTCTTAAAGATCAACATGTTTATTATTTAAAAAAAAAAAGCGTATTTCTATTTTTTTTTCTTTGTTCGTTCGGGGAGAATGAAAGAATAAAGTAGTTTTTACTCTCCGTGCATCTTTGTGTGTTGTCAATATTGACTCCGAAGTGTGGCGTTGGTCGAATGAAAGATTCTGCAGCAGGTGGGATGAAGGGGGCGCCCAGCATGGAGGGCGGGGTGTGTGTGTGTGTGTGTGTGTGGGGGGGGGGGCGGGTTATGGGAAAATCAGCCCTGCCTTTATCACACAGGCGGCGAACTCATTCATTACGGCACGGGGATGCAATATTGAGCGTGACAGCACTTGAGGAATGTACGTGAGGAAATTGGATTGTGTTTTGGAGTGAAAGGGGATTTTCTTAATCAAAATATATTCTAAACACGGCATTGTGATTAATATTGTGTTTGTGGACAATGAATTTAGGTTTAATCTGCATATTTCTGGAGGGGCGGCCATTTTGCCACTTTCTGTCACCTGAAAATGACATCACAGTTGGCCAACCAATCACGGTTCAGCTGGCGAATGTCACATGACCAAACTCTGAAAACAGATGAGGTGTGATTGGTGATTCATAGTCATTAAAATTATGTTAACGGACAACACAGAATGGCGGCCATTCCGAAATGATGAACAAAGTTTCTGACTGCGACACTGTGAAACCTCGGTTTTCACGTCCTAGTTTTAATCCGACTTGGGTTTTCAACTCTTTTTTTTCCCCATCAGAATTCCAACCCAGTTTTCCTACAGTACATCTGCTCAGTTACTGTACAAAAAAAAAAAAATTCTCAAAAGCGCATCCATCCCAAATATTTCGTAAATTGTACGAAAACAGTTCAACAGACATCAAGGTGTACTGACACATTTGTGTTACGCGTTACATCCGACCCAAAGTAAGTCCTTCAAAATAAAAGCACCCAGTACGATAATGCAGTTTCACCACATGATGGCTCATTTAGCAGCTGCACTCAATAAAGAAATATAAAATATTTTGAATGTGACAACTAATACGCCTAAAAAAGTTTGGGGACTTCTTATACTGGCATGCTTTTATTTTGATGGTGTAACTCAGGATGTTTTGCCAAGTGTTGTCGAGCAGAGTGGGATTCTTGTTGCCTTGAGTTGTTTAATCAAAGCTTGAAATGTGGAACATGCCTTGCTTTCTGTGATGAACGTGATGAGTGTCGGCCATTTGACAAAGAGGGTGGGGAAGCGCTATAGGATTCCAAAACTTATAGCAAAGTACAAAAAAAGTTTCCTCCTATCTCGCATTAGCCATCAAGTCTTCGACAAAGATAATTGTGATTTGAGATGTTCATTTGTTTATCTCGCACTGATTTGTGTAAAACAAGTCATTTTCTGGAGATTTTTTTTTTCAGATATTTTTGGATGCCTGGGATGGATTAAATAGATTTACATGATTTCCTATGGGAAACACTGCTTTTAGGCAGACCTTCTGGAACGGATTACCGGTAATCACGAAAACCGAGGTATTTAAAATCCACTGTGATATGGTGTACATTGGCAACACCACAGAAACAATTTTATTCTTCTGGCCCGAAACGGATGTGTGTTCAGAGTTAAACACATTCACAGTGTGTTCATTTTGTAATGTGACAGCACAACGTCGCGACGACCTCATTCCATCTAAGAGTCGCCAAGGGTGTATTAAGGCCGTAAAAGACATCAAACACAAGAATAAAAATTCAAGCGGCTTTACTGGTGCAAATCACTCTTGAGAAAAGGATCCAAACCCCCGAAAAATTGGACTGCCGTCAACTCCTGAACGCAGGCGGCAGAATTGACAAAGATGTCGAAAATAAAAGAAATATGGCCGAATAAATTATCTTACAAAAACACAACAGCTTTCAATACGATACAGTCATGACAATACGCAATGGACTCAGTGTGTGCAAAAATGTGATAGGGCGCTCTGAGTGCTCCCACTTTTTTCCTCACCGTGAAAAGGAGAAAGGCCCTGGAAGGGAGCAACGTTCCAAAGACTGATTCCCGTCCATTTCATCCTTTGTCTTCTCTTTCTTCTTTTGCTCCCAAAAATAACACAGCCACCTTTGGGCAAAGGGGTCCGTCTACATTGTGGTCTCTTCCCATTCCAGTTCAACGTCTCCTGTGGACACATGCGCAGTGTGACGTATGATGGAACAAGTGTGTGTGTGTGTGTGTGTGTGTGTGTGTGTGTGTCTGTGATTCGGAACAATTTAACTCTTTTCCACGAGACAGCAGAAGATGCGATTAATCCTTGAAGCCGGCGGAGAGCAGAATAAGCCCTGCTGCCTGCAAGTATATCAGCTTTGTGTTCAAGTAAGCAGGCCCTGATACGAACGATACAGAATGAATGAACTCTCAAGTCATGGTACGGTAAATTGTAGCTATTTCCAGGTGACAAGACTGAGCCCTGTTGCAAAATTAAAAAAAAAAAAAAAGTGAGCATTTGATGCCCAACCCAAAATGTTTAGAATTACTACACTTGTTTTTTTTTTGTTGTTTTTTTTTTTTAACAACATGCACCTGTATGTTACACACCCTTCCAAAATCACCCTCCAAAAGCTTTTATTTTTTTCTTTTCTCTGATTTTATGGATATTATGCGAACCTGATTTGCTGTTACAGTAATCCCTCTTTTATCGCGGTTAATGGGGACCAAAACCACCCGCGATAAATGAAAATCCACAAAGTAGCGACCAATAAACATACAAATAAATAACTAAATCATAATTATTAAAAAGAAAAAATTTTTTTAAGTCCGCAAAAAGGCCGCGAGAAGCTGCGAAAGTCAGCAAAACAACAGCGAGTCACATAGAGCAACCTATAACCAAACTGTACTCCATGTATATGAATTATTATTATTATTTTTTTATGAATATGTTTGAAAAAGTCGACGATGCACTGAAGCCGCGATAAATGAACCGCGCTATTTCGCGAGGGATCACTGTATCCTTGATTATCAGAGTGAATGATATGAATGAATAAAGATTCAAAACATACCAAAAAAGACTGAATGCCTTGAAAAAAAATTGTGTGACAAATACAGTATTTTCTGCATGATAAGGTGCACCTAAAAGCATTAAATTTTCGACAGTGCGCCTGATAATCCGATGTGCCTTATATATGGATCGATATTCCAATTTCTTGGACGTAGTATTTTAAATGTTCTGTAAAGTGTTTTGTTACAGCTGCAGCTGTTGTGAAAGCGTGATAGAAATCAAGCTGTATTGTATTGTATTCCCTTTAGCGTAGCTTCATCTAGTGGATGCATGACGCAACCGCAGTCACTATTGTGGCTTCTATTCCATGCGCCTCACAATACGGGGCGCCCTATCTATGAAAACAGTTTTAAATTAGGCCGTTCATTGACGGTACGCCTTATACTCTGAAGCGCCTTCCAGTGCGGGAAATACCATCAGTACATAGCGACAATTTAACATGAGATTTTCAATGGTAAAATATGTGCCTGTGCTCAATATAGGTTCGCAAAGTTTTGACGATTGTGTGTGTTGTTTGTTACCTTCCATTGCATCCAGCGAGTCCGTCTTCTCCAGAGCAGAGTAGCTGACAAACCAGATGGACTGACTGTTGCCTTTGTTGTTCAGCAGTTCCAGCGTGCTCTGGTGCAAGAAGATGTATTGGGCCTGACACACACACACACACACACACACACACACACACACACACACGCATGCACACACGCGCAGAGTGTAGCCAATTTATCTTCTCACAATGTCGCACGCACAACACATATGTTCGCCGGACACATCATTAGATGCTCCGGCACAATCTCATGAGAGCCAATAAAAGAGCTCTTCAAAAAAAAAAAAAAAAAGATAACAAAGCTCTCCTCTGTTTTGATTGATGTATGACAGAGATACAAATTTGATCCTAAAAATGTTTAGCATTGCGCCGCGAATTTGCAAGGCTTAAAAGTGATTCACAGGTAGCCAAGTAAAGCCTCATCACAGTGATTACGTGACAAGGCGCCACTGTCAAGTTGTTTTATTTCAAAATGAACTCACGGTTAAGACAAACATAACAGGAGACTTAGAGGTTTTAGAGATTAAAGTCTACGAGATAATCGGCAACAATGTGCGGATCCCACAATTTAAAACGAGCAAGCCAACAAATAATGAGCCGTGATAAGAAGAAGGGTGTAGATACACACCCACACCGAGACACACAAGTGATCCATAAGTAATGAGCGAGCCGGGGTGATTTTAGGATAGCGCCGTGCTTTGTCAGGATGGGGGAATCCTGCTCACAATAGACGTTTAATCCACCGCCAGACCATTTTAGTCCATAAAGAGAATTTTCTAATAATGCCTGACAGGAAAAGGGATCACAGGGGGGCGGTGAGGGAATGAAGAGTAAAGTAGGACAACTACACGCACATTTGCTGATGCTTGAAAGTGACGGAACACAATTGAAGAGGCTATTCTGTACAGTGCATTATTTTGTGTTATGTGTCACTTCCCTGACGGTTGTTCACATCAATCGCAGGGTGACAATAAAAAAAGAGTCTTCTTCCTTACCAGATTTTGCACCATGCACATCCTCTCGCTGCGCAGCTCAGCCACCAGGCCGTAAACGTCCACAAAGTCGTGATCTCTGATGTGCTGAATAAGATGGTCCAGAGCGATGAACACGCCTGTTCGGCCCACGCCGGCGCTGAGTCCACAGACACACGATGAACAGATTATAGCCGGTTGAAGATTAAATTCGGGCGGACTGAAAAGTTGAAGGTGGTTGCCAATATGGACAGGTGTGTACTGAAGTGGAAGTATATTTAATGTGGCATTGTTAGAAACTGTGGATGGTGGCTGCATGGCTAAGTGGGGACTGCTGCTAATTTTGGATATCGGTGAGGATTCAAATACTGACTTACAGGTTGTATGGATTAAACCCCCGACAGGCAAAAGTTGTGTCTTCTTATTTGAAAATGTTGGAAATAAAATTAGTCCCTTTATTATTCTTTACCGCAATTATACCGATAACCTGGTTTCAGCCACTTTGGACCCAGTACAGTATTTCACTCATTTAGGGTTACTTTTGACTCAGCAGTTTTAAGAGTGCAGAGTCATGAAGCAACCATAAATTTGAAAGGTGGTCAACCACTGTCTAGAACAGGGGTGTCAAACTCATTTTTGTCGTGGACCACGTTTTAGTAACCGTTTCCCTTCGAGGGCCGTTATCATTGAAACCATATAAAAATTCAATAATTATGGTTTATGCCACTACTGTTTAAGCTACTGTAATGAGGGGTTTGGTAACAAGAAAATGCTTACAATATGTCAGTTATTTATTACATATGAGAATTTTAAATTTTGGTAGAGATTTTATCAAGTATCATGGAAGTTGACATGTTTGATTTGCTTTCGCGAGCCACATAAAATGATGTGGTGGGCCAGATCTGGCCCCCGGGCCTTGAGTTTGACACTGTGGTCTAGAACATGAAGACATAAAAATGCTCTCCGCAAACACCTGCAGTGCACCGCTATGGTGGTGTGGTGGTGCCGGTGCAATCGGACCGCCCGGACAAACTTGATGAGGGTGCCGCAGCATTCCGGGACCCCATGCTCGGGCCACGACGTGTAGTTGAAGTGGTGGACCAAAATGTAGTGTCCATGCTGCAGGGTGAAACAAGAAGAAAGGCTTCGTCTCAATGATGGTTTATGATGTTTTAACGATTGTCTGGTCTTGTTTGTACTTTGCTTCAATTGCGTGATCTGGACCAATAAAGGCTAAATTACAGTCCAAAAATAAAGAAATAAAAATAGTGTGAACATATGGGGGTGGCGGGGGGCATTTCTGTCCCTTTTGCAAATTTCTGGCTTTACCAGAGCGCCCAGGAAGGGAGCTCGGGCTAACCAGTGTTGCCGTATTAAGGACTTTTCCGACTCCTGTAGTGACTCATTTTCCGAAAGATGAGCAGTCACAAATCAACTGCTCCAAATCCAAACTGCAAATGAATGGTGCTGGTGCAAAGCCACCACCGGCCAACACTAAATAAATGTCACATAAACCCGCGAAGATTTACTCGTATTTTTCCTCACTGAGACAACACTACAACCAATTCAAAGTCAATTTTCCAAGAATGTCTTCTTTTACATACCAAGTCAGCAGGGGCTCCCATGAAATTGTTTCGGGCCGTTCGTTACCTTTTCCACTTTAAGCGTCCTCACAGTCCAATCAGGAAGGATTTCTTCAGACACTTTTGAAATAAGAATGTCACCAAACACTGACATGGGCTTGTTGTTGTCCTCTGGCCAGTACTTGTGACAGCGACTCTAGAACGGGACGTGCGAGTGCGTGAAAATGGAGGCGGGATATGTGACGAAGTCAGTGAAACCTTAACTGCCACTCACTCTGCCGTTTTCGTGGCACTGCGTGAGCATGGCGATGGTGCGGGTGCCCGTTTCCCAGATCATCTTCCAAAAGTCAGCCACCGTGTTGGGCAGAGGACCTTGCGTGGCGATGAACTCATTCGGACACAGATAGCCCTTTGGGACCGAGATATACATGCTTTAAAAAATATATATCTCGATACAATAATTCACACGGACAGAATTAGAACAGAAAAAAAGGAATGCATTGTTCATTTTTCCATCAGTTGATACTCACTGAGACAAAGCTGGCGTTGATGTAGTCCGAGCCTGCAGCTCCCGGTTCCGACAGCAGTTTCACTCGATTGTTATTATCTGGATACAACGCAGTCGTTTTTCAATGTATAGCTCAACTTGCAAATGATTATTCCCCCGGAAAGAGAGTGCAAATGCTATTACATTACTGAAACTCTTGTCAAGAGGAGCATGCAAATGGGCATTTTTTTCCCTCATGCCCTGTATAATTAAAGACCACCATGAAAGGGTCTTCTCGAGTGGCCTTTCTTTCAAGAAAAACAAAACGAGCTGTGACACGAGATGGCGCTGTAATTACCTCGTGCCTCGCAAATCAACCCCGCGGAACTGCAACGGGTTTCGGATCTGCCACGCGTACTCACACGGCTTTATATTGGGGAAACGGTTCTTGGTTTTGTTCCAGGGCAGGTCTGCGTCCGTGGTGGCCAGGTCTTGAAGTAGTTTGGGGAGCTCCTGAAGGGGGGAGAAAGAGAGCAAAGATTTCTTGATTAAAATAAAATGAAATTCACTCAGATTGGATGTTCACTTACGGAAAACTCTTCCTGGAATTTGGCGTTGTCGTTGCTGCACAGATCCTCGATATGCTGGAGGAACGACTTCTTGCTGATAGGCCTTGAAAAAAAAAAAAATTAAATGAGGGACCATGATAGCCAGTCATGGAAACTGACCAAGTCCATGTACTGCATTTCATTATTCTTCTTAAGCAGAATTTTTCAGGTGTCTGTGCTCTACTTGGGTATTTATTTTCCTCATGACTTTCTACCTCTGCTCACTGTATTTGAAAACAGAGCTGTAATTTCTACTCCATAACTCAGTGTCAATGTTTTTTTTTTTTTCTGGTTAAATCAAGATTTTGAGAGCTAAAACTGAAAGTAAAAAAATAATATCGAATGACTTTTCAACTTAAGTACTAAATGGCCTCCACAATAAATATAACTGTGGATGAGATGCGACAAGTATTCGCAGAGCGCGTGAGAGTAGTACCACTTCCATACGGCGAGCGGCACCGAGTAAAAAACTGTGTTGGGATGCTGCAGCCACTGTCAGCATATTATTTATACATATTTATACATTATTTATGCAGGATGACTTACTTGAGCGATTTCCTGTAGCTGAGGAGTCTGGATGAAAATAGATGGCGGGGGGTGGGGGGTGTGGAAAAAAAGAACAAGCTTAATCACAGTTGAGTCGGTGCTATTTGTGCACAGAAAATCCCAAAAAGAAACCAGGCTGTTTATCTGCTTAACTTAATAAAGCGGGAAGGAAGGATGAAGTAATAATGGAAGGAAGGAAGACTGAAGGAATGGAAAAAAAAGCAAGGGAGGAAAGAAAGAAGGAAGCGAGGATGGAAGGAAGGTCTGAAGCGTGGAAGGTAGAGTTGAAGAAAAGGATGGAGGAAGGAAAGAAGTAAGTGAGGGAGGTTGGAAGTAAGGAAGGAAATGATGGGAAAGGGAAAGGAGGAAGAATGGGATATGGGATTGGGGAAGGAAGTACGGAAGGAAGGAAGGAAGGAAGGAAGGAAAGAAGGAAGGAAGGAAGGAAGGAAGGGAAAATAGGAGGATTAAAGGACGGTATGTTTGAAAGGATGGAAAGGACTGGAAAAAAAAGCAAGGGAGGAAAGAAAGAAGGAAGTGAGGATGGAAGGAAGGTCTGAAGCGTGCAAGGTAGAGTTGAAGGATGGTATGGCGGGAAGAAAAGGATGGAGGAAGGAAAGAAGTAAGTGAGGGAGGTAGGAAGTAAGGAAGGAAATGATGGGAAAGGAGGAAGAATGGGATATCGGATCGGGGAAGGAAGGAAGGAAGGAAGGAAGGAAGGAAGGAAGGAAAGGAAAATAGGAGGATTGAAGGACGGTATGTTTGAAAGGATGGAAAGGAAGAGGGATTGTGTGAAAGGAAGTGGAAAGGGGGAAGGACGGAAGAAAGGAATGCATCAGGGTTACGATGAGAGGCAAGAGGGGAGAAATGGGAGGAAGGAATATATCGGTGTTTCTATATAAGGAAGACAAGGGAGGAATGAAAAAGAAGGACGGGAGGAACGATGGAAAGAAGAAAAACGGGAGGTACAGAAGGCTGCTGCAGAAATAAAGGGCAGAAGAAAGAAAGGACACAGAGGATATGAAAGGAAGGAATGGAAGGAGGACGGCAGGAAGGAATGAGGGGAGAGAGGAAGAAAGAAAACAGCAATATTCATTTTCGCTATCATTCTGAACCCATAAAGCGGAGGTAGCTAACCTCTGCTTGCCCTCTAAAAATATTCTACCTCCCAAATGCAGGTCGACCATAGCGTGAGGGTAAATGAATAGCACGCGCACACACACACACACACGCACACAATGTGGCTTGCAGTGTTATAGTGTAGGCCAAGCGTGCCTTCAGCATGTATGAGCGAGTGGTGAACGGGGGTTATGGGGGGCCCAATGACATAAACAGTAGCAGCACTTACTGAATGACGTAAATCTCTTTCCGTCTGAAGAAGAAGGATGAATACCTGCTGGCAGAAAAGCGCTCAGTGTCGAAAGCAAATTTATAGGTGGGTTTCAGTGAGTGATGTATAAATATGTAGAAATAAGGCACATTTTGTCAGGGAAGATGGTTGGAGACTCGCAGACGGCGTGTCTGCAAAGAAGAAAGGAAGAAATGGAAAGCCACAATGCCGCTGCGCCGTTTCGAAGACATCGCTTCTATTTTTGCTCAAACTCGGCGACAACAAGATGATTTAGTGCCGACGGGAGCGCATCGTGTCGGCGGCGGCTGAGACACTCTGGTCTTGTTGGTTTCACATTTAGCGTCGTGTATTTGGAGCCGCCGCCGCCGCCGCCAAGTCACACTAAGCGTTGCCAACACGTGTTCAATGTCGTTGTACTTTAATATCCCCACCGGTTGACTTTTTCCTGCTTCAGCTCCAGGTCTGCCACAGCAATCAGCTGATCCAGTTTACATTTGGTCTCGATGATCTCCGCTTCTCTTGGGGAATACGTTTCGCCCTCCTTCTTGCGCTGGTGGACTCTTGGCAAACGGGTGAATAACGCACAACGTTATGCTTCGATATTTTTATATAAACAGTAGAATGAATTCGCTTTACATCTGCCTTCTCAGAACAACGTTATTAAGTTCACACTTATTTGAGACGATATTATTGGTACTTTAAGACTGTTGACAAGGGGCACGTCTACTATTATTTGTAATGTTTATTTTACAATAATATGCTCATCCTCGTTAATAGATAAATTTTAGAATGTTGTCCTCTGGAATGCTCCATCTGTCATTGAGAACATCTTTCTTTTCAATTTGCCCTTGCTTCAAATATTACATCGCCATTTTCTTTCACAATATTCTTCTCCTGGTATTCTGGTGACATATTCAAAGGAAGGATACACTGAGAGCTTTTGTAATGTACATGCTGTTGTACCTTTGTTATGCATTGGTGGTCCTTGTATTTCTTACCTGCCTGAGTGCTTTGATTAGTTCGAGAGTGTTTCGTGAATTTGTTCAAAAGAAAAAAAAAGGCCACGAGTGTTTCTATTTCCTTACTTGACAGACGCAAAAAAAAAAAAGGCCAAGAGTGTTTCTATTTCCTTACTTGACAGACGAGCAGATGATGACAATCAGCAGCACTGCCAAGAAGAAAGAGAGGAGTACACCCAAGATGATCTGCTCGTCTCTGCTCAGCAGCCCATAAACTGCAGGGAGAGAAAATGAGTGTCGAATAATCATTTATTATATATTAAAAAAAAAATACACAGGTGTGTCTCAATGCAAAAATTAAAATGATGATGATGTGGAGTGAGTCAGTGGTGAGAGCCAGCAATTCCTTTGCTGACCTAAAAACTTGCAAAAACACAAACTTACAAACTGGCAACCTGCAGTGTAACATTTGTTGATTAAATTGTGCCTATTCCGTCCCAACAGTGTCTTCTCTTCATTTTGCACTGCTTCCAGTATCGGTATGTGGAAGTTATACAGATTGACCAATCAGATGTCAGCATCTGTGTTGCCATGTCAATCAACTCCGCCCAGTGCTATCAGAATGCTGTCAGAATCAGTCATGCGAGCTGTTGTAACTTTAATTGCAATAGCAATAGGACTATTTCTTTAACCGATCAATTCATCGTCTCAGGTCCAGTATGCCGGCCGTCGATGATGTCAGCCTTTTTCCGTCCTCTGATTGGTTGGTTAGAGGGAAACTTGTTCCAACCCAGCCAGAGGAGCAAAACGCATGTTTTGCAATCTGCGAGATTCATACTTTTAATAACCTCTATTGAGTACGGTAAAAGTTTTATATTTTTTGTCGGCTGAATTTATATATTGATATTGATTCTGAACTGCTCTAGATGATGCTCATGGCACCGCTTCCCGCTGCTATATTGCATTTTTGAATAGTATTGATGATTTCGATAATTGCAACGTGATAGTGATGGATTAAGTTGCGCAAGTCTCCACTGAAGACCCAGCTCCTAAATACATGACCCACCATTGGGCTAATTGATCTGAGTTTGACTTTTTGAATTCAACGACTGAAATAAATGAACTTCTCAATCAGATTCTAATTTCTTGAGCGCACCTACAGTAAGTATACAGTACCTGCAGTTTTAATATGGTCGGAGTACTCCGAGTCAGTGTATTGGCCGATGATGTTTGTTGCTCGGAACTTAAACCTGTTGAATACACACAGTACATTCATAAAAACAGTTTTCATTCATTAAAAAACATTTGATCGTACACGGTCCACTCACACATAAACCGTGTTGGCCTTCAGAGGTCCGTTACACAGCACGTCGGTTTGATTCTCCACCATACACTCGTCTTGCTCTCCTATCACATACGTTTGCGCTGTGGTGTGGTTGCGTCTTTGGGACACCTTGCGAGTGTCCATCGAACACGGCGGGTTGGGGAAGCCCTGGTCCGTCACGTACGGACTGGGGTGGTGGAAGAAGGCGTCCCTCCAGGTCGTAAGGTTTGCAACATCTTTCACTGTGACGTGTTGAAATGGGAAACAGAAATTTTTTTTTTTTTTTTAATCCATGCGTTTCTCAAAGTCAGACGGACTCAAAGCGACATTTGCGGCGAGTCGTACCCCCTGACTCAGCCACGATGACCTGGATTTTTGCGATTGGCCCGTTGTCATCGCTATAGAAACACGCCGGCAAGCGGATGGTGATACTCTTGTGGGTAACCATGGTAACCCCTCTGTGGCCAAGCACTGCCTGGGGTCTTTGGGCGGGCTTGGCCGGCGCTGCACAACAACTAAAAATCAGCATTACTGAGCCACATACAAACACACGCACGCACGGCGCACACACAACCCCATGGGTGCATACGCTAAACGGGTCAAGGTTTTATATTTAACCCTTTCAAGGACAGTGGTTACTATAGTGGACAGCTTATCGAGTTACAAGGTGCCTGAAAGGGTGCAAAAAAAAAATCTCATAGCACATCACAAAACAAAAATGTGATGAAAATGATAAATTCTGAAATAATGATCATCTCCAGGTCCATTGAGCCTTCATTTAATTGTTCTCCCTGTCAGTATATGGCACAGATACTGTAGATGAACAATGCTATATTTGTAATTAATCAATAATAATTTTCAGACAAATGAAAATGAAATTGGATCATTTCTTGTGAGATCCCTGCCAAATTTCTCAAGTGTTTCACACTCCACGGCATCCAGGTTGGGAATCACTGCAGTAAATGGTGTTGACATTATGAATGATTGTTCATCTCATTTGGTAATCACACCACGTTTCCGGCAGCTGAGGATTCCACACACACACGCACACGCACACGCACACACACACACACACACACACACACACAAAAGGCAAATAGGTGAATTTGTGAATAGTGGATGACAAATATACGAGGAATTACTGCATTGTGGTTTCTCATCTATAGTTCCACGAGGGTCAAACGATGGCAAATGTTTCTCAGCGTGACCCACAACGACATAGACGGAGTAAAACAAATACCGTACCTCTCGAGCAGTGTCAATCACAACCCAGTCCCATCATCTCTGTAAATGGAGCATTTTTGCCCAAACACGACAAGCGCGGACGTGCTTTGAACCGTGACGGAAAGACCGCTCCGCCACAAGGTGCACACAGACGTGAATTCAATTTACAAGTGTCAGAAATGAACAGGCTCGGGCGAGCAATAAGTGGGAAGACCGTACCCTTGATTCCTGTTGTTATCTGGACGTGCGGACTGGGTGGACTCCGGCCGGCGCCGTTCTTTGCTGAAATCTACAAACAAACACATTGGGTGAGTCAGAACAACACGCACGAAGACCATTTAAGTTGAACAGGGTTGGGCAAACTGCAGATTGGCAAGGTCAAAATCGTTCTAAAGCAAAATGATGAGTTTTAATAATTGCTCAAATGTGACTGTGGAATACGTGATTGTATGATTAGCATATTTCCATTTCATTATTCAAATGTCTTTATTTTCTCCCAAGGTTGCGCAGTACAAGCTATATTATGCATGCCATTATGCATATCAACAGATTTTTCTGTTGGAATAAATGTGATTCTGTTATCCCATATTTACTCTCTGTGTAACTTTAAAACCTGTTTCAGAGTGATACCTCGCAAATACCTCATATACAATGGGATAGGTTGATAATGGTAGACTTGTCGGACCGGGAGAGCTCAGGCTGCTCCTGTTCTAGCTTTTAAGACAATATCTTGTTGTTAAGTGAACGGCTTCTGGTCAAATTAACTGTTGGTTGTGAGAAGATAACATCAAACCCAGGACACCATGAGAGGGACATCGCAAGCTGTGTTCGTGAACCATCGACATCCAGTAGGAGCCGTTTGACGACATCTCAGGAATGAACTGTGTGTTCTCATTGAAACTCTCCTTTACTGAAACTGTTGTGGAATGTGAAAATACTCCCCACTCCCGTTAGTAGATTGTGTATCAGGGACATCCTTCCAATAAATGCAAGGAGACAAACGCGCACTCTTCAGAGTTGCCCCGGAACCTGTAACGGTTTACATTGCAGAGCCAGCTGGAGAGCTGCTTTGAGATTGTGAACCGAGACATGTTTTAGCGCGCTCTCTCTTGCAAGAAAGACAACCATGCTTGCCTCCCGAGTCTTCCTGTACCTAATGTGTTCTTAGCATCTGATTACCAGCATTAACCTAACATTTTCATAGACTGCAGATCTGGTGATCTAGATCATCTATTTTATTTATTCATTAAGAATCTATCTATCGATCTATCTGTCCATTCATCCCATACGCCGCAAATAGCGGGGTTCCACTGTTTACAAATGTATACGGTTGCAAATTTGTATTTATTTGGTCTTCATTATCATATTTAATATTAGAGTAATCCAAAAATAATGAAGTTGCATGACTTGAACCCTTTGAGGGACAGCGGTTACTACAGTGGACAGCTTATCATGTTATCAGGTTACAGGGTGGGTGAAAGGGTTAATATGATGGTATTTGGATTACATTAGTAACGCCATTTTTTTTTAAACACGTAACGAGTAACTGCACCCTCCCGACCTTGATAATACAGTTAATATGAAAATGAATAAAAGCCTCCACCCTCTTACCTGAATACTGTAGTCGCGACCACCTTTGAGGCCGTCGATGACGGCGCTCAGCATGTAGTTGTCTTTTTGGGTGGTATTCAAGCTGACGTTCCTTACCAGGAGCTCTTTCTCATAGATGTACACAAAGTAGGACGTGATTTGGCCGTTGGGCTCTGCCGGTGGCGTGAAGGTCACCTTGACACGGTTCACATCGTTCGGGATGACGGTCACCACCACGTTCTTTGGCGGGTCTTTGGGCTCTGCAGGTACACAAGAAGCCACAGAAAAAAAAGAGAATCCTGTATAGACATACACATATTTAATGAACAAGTCATATTTTCTCCATCATCTGCTTTTCTTGAAAATAAATGATTTCAGAAGAGTTCATTAGGGATTATGTTTCTGGAGTGTCTACGGTAAATATTTTTTCGATTTTTTTTTTTTTCCATCCTCAGTTATTCTTGGCTATGTTGCTATGTTCAGCTATATTTCATCTGATCTTCTATTAATTAGATTTGAACATTTATAATTATCATCATCATTGCCAACACCATCATGATAATCATCTCATCATATTTCTAAGGAATACATCATTTGGGGCAATGGGATTATGATGTTATTTTTCTTGTAGGTTGTACAACGATTAAAAGGGTTTTATTTTTCCTCTGAGGTGGTATGTTCTCGTCTTCGCTCCATGAAATATAATTATCGTTTACGAACCAAGATACAGTATTAGTGCTGAGTATATTGAAAAAAAAACACAAACTGCAAACAATATATTGCTATGCAGTGAGGTAGAATGTCAGCGAGCGGCAGGGGACAAAACTTCACAACTTTCCCCACACACCTTCTTCTAGTGTTTGAAACACAAAGGGCCCGATGGCCTTCCCGTCCTCGGCGGCCTTCGCCAAGGGGCCGGTGAAGGCGGTGACCATCACAGAATAGAGCGAGAACGCCGTCAAGTTGGTTACAACCACCGTGGTCAGCTCTCCCGGCGCTCGGATGGACGAGTAATTCAAACCGGGACCGTCCACCTTGTGGCGCAGGAGTTGCAAATATTACAGTACATGATAAATACCAACTTCATCAGCATTTACACTTTGTGAGTCAGAGAAATGACCTGCACGAGATAAGATGTCGGTCCAGAAATAATGTCTGGAGGGTCCCAGTCTATACGAAGGCTCCCGGAGGTGGGCAGCACCCTGATATCACGTGGAGCAGCATCTGGGTCTGACGGATAGACACACACAATTTTTTTTTTTTCCCTTTCCATTCCTGCTTCACTCATTAATTCCATTCCCCCATGACATTTCAAATTTCAAAGATTATGGAGAAGCATTACAGCTTTTACGTTGCATCAATATAAAAATGTGAACAGTGATTAATGGGTGCTACTTTTTTTTTTTTTAACGGGGCTGTGATGCTGGGTGTTCCTAATGACATGTCCAGTGAGAGTATGGCTCTGACTCCACTGTCATAAGGATATAAGATGTTGTTTCAATTGTTTTCTTACTGCCGGCGAGGGTCCGTGCATACTTCCACTCCGTATATTCTCCAACTCCTGCATTGGTCACTGCTGCCATTTTGAAACGGTAGTGTCTGTACTTAGCCAGAGGATGGACCGTGACACGGGGGCCCTCTTCTGAAGCGTTGACCGACACGGTGACACTTGACTCCACGCAACCCGAGGGCGGTTCTTCATCAAGGATTAGGACGTCGGGTTCGCATTTAGTGTCGAGCAACTCTGTGACCAGGCGGTACTCCTTTAGCAAGCCCGGGATGGAAAGTGGGGGAACCCATTCCAGTGTCACGTTGTTGGCTGTGACCTGAGAGATGGCGAGGGAGCGAGGGGCAGATGGCGCTAAACAAAAAAGATCAGGATTAAGGATTACATTGAACATCCACTCTTTTGGTTTTTCAGTTCTCTGAAAGGATTACAATCATGGTGTATGTACCTGACTCAGAAAGAGTAGAAGCAGTGCAATTGATTTGCTCTCCGTGTCCTGCGGAGTTGATCGCGGTGACACTGAGTGTATACTCCTGGTCCGGCAGCAGTCCAGTCACTGTGTGTTCTGCTGTGTTGACCCGGTATGAGTCCACCTCCATTACGATCTCATAAAAGAGGATCTGGCCGTTTGGGTTGACCGGAGGATCCCACGATAACTGAATGGAATCCCAGCTGATTCCGGAACACGACAGGTTCCCCACAGCTTCTGACACTGCAGACATATTGATCGTCAAAAATGATCTCAAATAATGATTTATCGCTGTCTCCCAGAAGGGGGGGACGTCTACTTTTTTTTATTCAGTCTAAGACAAGGCAGCGGTTGCATTGGCATAGAAGATTACAGAAATCTAGATGAGAAAATGCCCTTCAAATGAGCTTTGAGCTTTCATTGAACCTAACTTATCTCCAATTAGTTAAGCTGGCTTAAAAATATGTCGCTAAAAATTTACTCATTCTTTATCTCACGAGTCGGGAAAATAAACTGTAATTATCTATATCATTAGCTCTGAACTTTGGAAAACATTAAAAAAAGGGGTTAGATATGCAACTTTGCTTAGAATGTCCAGCAAAGTGACTAGCGTAGCTTTTTAGTACTCACTCACATAAGTGTCGCATTAGCTCAGGCAGTTAAATAACAAGAGAGTTAAAAAAAAAAAGTACACCAGCGGCAAATTGACTTAGACCAAGCTTGTAACTTCATTTTTGTGTAAATTAAATGTAATCAAAATGATATAATTGCAGGATTTAAATATTTTGAATCTGTTCCAGCCCTCCAATTATTACGGTTAATTATGATAAATTGTCCTCGATTGTATAAAAACATAACAAAACATTCTAAAAGAGAATGTAAAGAAACAAACTGCTATTATACAGTGCAACTACTCTATGTACTGAAGTGTGAGAAGTTGGGTAGTGAGTGACAGAGCTGGAGTTGGATTTGCTGGTTATTTCAGAGTGAGAGTCTGGGAGTGAGTCTTGCATCTTCCCACAATTGTTCTCATTTTGTATACTGCGTGTGCTTCATTTGGTTGATTAAATAACAGAGTGCATCAGCGACTGTGGCACTCCTCGCCCACATGCATTAGAGTACTTTATTTGCGGCCTATCTTAAACCTGCTTAAAATGTATCTAACAACAAAAAGCTGAACGCAATTCAAAAATAATCCAAGCAACGGTTCGTTAATGCGGGCACTCAAAGTTATTTGTACTTGTTTAGCTCAAGTGGCTAAGGAACAAGAAAGTCTAATTATCCTTGTAATTTGCTCAGCAATGCAGAAATTCCATTTAGTACATTTATTTTAGCACGAGCATCCAGCAGAATGACTACTGTAGTTTTTAGCACGTACTGAACCTCACATAATTAGGTAGTATTAACAGAGCCAGTTTAAAAAAATATATTTGCACTCAATTTCTTAACCTAATTATCTCCAACATTTACTCCAAACAAAGAAAAGCCATCAAAGTGAGATAATAATTTGTTACTTTGCTGTTGGTGTTAGCATGCTATAGCTTTATGGCTACTAGCTCATGAATTCAAACTCAACATTAGCCTTAGAAGTACATGTCACACAGGTTGTTTGCGCGAGCGCACTAGTGTGTATATCACGGCTAAAATTCCACTTACTGATTTCCGATTCGGCATTTTATTTTGTTCATTTTCAACTCAGTAATACATACAGGTAGATACGCTCATTCTGTTAAAAATAGTTTTACGGGGCCGGGGGGAGATCTTGTTCCATTAGGGGAAAAGGATATAGCATGACATTGCTGCATCATTATTCGCAAAGTGTATATGTGATATTTTTCTTATTTTTTCTTACCTGACTCGTTGGTGGTGAAGGTCACCGGGCTGCTAAACTGGTTGCCATGGCCTACTCGCGTGTAACTGTAAACACTGATCTCGTAAGAACGATGAGGCCTGAAGCCGGAGATGTACCCGGCGGTTGATGGACCGGACGAATTCTGTAATTTTGCACACACATGCACGTACACACACGCACACACACACACGCACACGCGCACACACACACACACACACACACACACACACACACACACACACACACACACACACACACACACACGAGCACACACACACACATGCACGTACACACACGCACACACACACACACGCACACGCGCACACACACACACACACACACACACACACACACACACACACACACACACACACACACACACACACACACACACACACACGCACACGTTAGGCACCCAATCCTGATTACTTGCTGATGATATCTTATTGTATGCGCACGTGCTGGTGAATACAATGTTAACTTGGAGAGGCATCTGGAGTGTGAAATTAGAGCCGCTAATCCGTGTGACAGGTGTGTTTTTGCCGAGCGGATCTCCCGAGTGCACTTTCATGTTTTCGGTAATACGGACTGGGCTTCCGGCGTGTGAAATTGACTGTACCCGGTGTGTGACGGTGTGTGTGATGAGTTCTCGGATCCGGAAGCCGTACTGCAGGACCACCCCGTTGGGCTCCAGGGGGGGCTCCCAGCTCAGCCACACGGACACGGCCGTGTAGTTGAAAATGGTCAGGTTGCGGGGAGGGGACATGGGGCCTGGAACACAAAAATGTCATAATGCAATGGGGATTGTATTATCAATCATATTGCAAAGTACTATGGTCATTATTCTTTACAGTACATGTATTAACTGTACAAGCAAGATTTGTGGCAGGCCCATGGCTACCTCACCATGAGAACGGGCCTTCTTGCAATGCCCTGAGCATCTGACAGTTCCTGGCCTAGAAGAAAATCACAGCGCTGGAGCAACCTCCCGACTCATTTAACCTGGCTCTATCAGATTTTTCCTCTCTGCCAATCTCAAGGGGATTATTAAGAGGACTTGTTTTGAAGACATGGACAACATCAAGATGACGGTGATGACGGAGATGCGGAAGACCCTGGAAGAATCTTTCCAGGAGTGCATGAAGACGTGGCAGGGAAAGCTGGGAAAGTGTGTTAGGGGAGATTACTTTAAAGGGGAAAACTTTTTATTTCAAATATATATTTTGTGACACCAATCCTGGAATTTGTCTCCGACATCTTGATGGATCATTTGATAGATCGTAGTAGTGCTCCGAAATGAGTGTGGCAGCTAAACAATCCGTCTTGTGGTGCATTTTTCTCGTTGGTATTTTTTGATCTGAGGCTACCATTGAAAAGTGAAAAACAGGCATCTGATTTGCTTTTTTGTGTGTCAGATTAAAATAGAACAAATGATTGAATGTTCTTAAGGATTGTGAAGTCTTTCATAAACTGCACACATAGCGTTGCCATTTCACCTAAAGACAATATGAATGTCTGTATAGAAATTCTACAAGACTGATCACGGACACACACACACACACACACACACACACACACACACACACACACACCGAGGGTCACAACATGAACACTTACCCCCCTCATCAGTGTGCAGCATCAGGAGGAGCGCTGGCCCTGAGCCTTTACGAGTCGCTGCAGTGACGCTCAGGTTGTAAGCTGTGTAGGGCAGCAGATTTGTGAGCGTGAAGGAGCTCTCGGGGGTCTGCATATTGTTGGAGCCCCCGGGGCCAAACAGCGTAAGGGTGTACTCTGTGATTTCCCCATTGGCCTCGAAGGGGCGCTGCCACGCCACGACAATGGAGGATGACGACAGGTTCGCGGCCGAGACGAGCAACGGGGCAGAACTCGGGACTGAGAGCGAAAACACGTACATAGATGTCACATATTTATGAACAATGGCCATGGTATGAACTCACCATCATCATCCGTCCTAAGGTACAGGGTGCTGGTGTGGTTATGGGCGGGGCCTGCCCCGGTCGCCGGGGTAACGGTCAACACATAAGGGAAATACTTCCGAAGTTTGGTGAAGAGGAAGACGGTGTCGGTGGTGGTACGCTTGATGGTTTTGTTGACCACAGGAGAGGCTTGATTGTGTACAAGTGGGATGACGCCAGCCTCCTGCAAAGTGAGGATGTAGTGGGGACGGCCGTTGGGCTCCAGGGGAGGGTCCCAGCTCACGATGATGGCGGTGGAGCTGAAGATCTGAGCGGTCAGGTTGTGGACCGAGTCGGAGGGCACTGAAGGGAAGACGGGGTTGGATACCATTACAGTCTTATTGAATGACCTTATATATATATATATATATTTTTTTTTTTTATGAAAGGGGACATATTATGGAAAATTGACTTTTTCATAGCTTGTATTCAAATAGTTACGTCTCTGGAGTGCTGTGAGTTTTTGTGAAATATGACAATTCTAATTTATTTGATGGCCATGGCCCGAGGTTACACTGTCTGAAACATTTGTCACATGTCAAAGCACAAAGGTAAGCAGAGCTGCATTGATTTTTGTGTCTTGGCAATTTGGTACAGATAATTGTCGTGTACCCATCTGTGAAAAGTGTCTTTATGGGCGCTCATTTTTCCGGCCCATTGTTACACAACATCCCCAACCGAAGACGCAGATACCAAATGCAAAGCCTGCCAATGTTATTTCGACCCCTGGCAACGCTTAATATGTCTCCTTTAATGTGAATGTGAACGATTCAGTCATCATTTGTCACAATCGTCATGATAGCAGCAGTCTTGCGTTTAACAGGCAACAACAGAAAACGGTGGAAATGTGGAAACATCCATCAAAGAGACAGTGACAGAAGACAAAAAAGGAAATTTGCCTTTAGGGATGGAAAGGAAAGGTTGGGAAGACAATACTCATCCTGCATGTTTAACCTGAGAAGCATGGGAAGGGTAAATGTAATATTTAAGCTCAATTAGTGGGGAGGCCAGGTATGTGTGGAGTGAGTGCCTAGGGGGGGAACGAACCCCCCGCTGGGCTTGGCTGAGTGGCAGAGACAAGGCGGCGTGGTGGTCCGCTGCTTGGCCGAGAATGGAGCGGCTAGATCACAGGCAGAGATACATAGTCAGTTACCAGACGTCATCATTTCATGACCATTCTTAGCCAGTGCATGTTTGTCGAGTTGGGGCTAAAACACTGGACGCTGTCTGCACCCTTTTCCACAAAATCACATAAAAACAAAGCCTTTGACGTCAACGTGTTCACGCCATCAAAGTGGGGTTCAAGTGAAAATCACATGGCTGCGGGAGAATGCCCGTAGCCATGGCAACAAGGCAACCTCGGCGGCACGAGGGTAGCGTGCGAATCCCGCTCACGAGACCTGTCAGCCTTTGTTATTCCTCTGTCATCGAGTGCTTTTGCACTCTCACTTTGTTCTTTTTCCCTTCTAATCTCACTTCACTTTCATCCTGCTAAGTGAAAGGAAATACAAACTGGTTGTCCTCGGGGCAAAAAAAAAAAAAACGAGCCAGTTTGCCAGACGGAGAGTTATCTCCTTTCACTGAGCAGCCCAAGCAGAGTTTTTATGTCATTTTTTGGGGAGGTGAAAGGAGAATTTTGAAAAAGGTGTGCAGAGGCAGCCTCCAGTGAGACTACGACTGGATGTGATCATTTATACGCTCACCAGACACTTTATTAGGAACACCTACACCATCTAATCAGAGTAAATTCAAAAATTGAATTCAATTAAAAAATGTTGCTTTTGCAAAGCTGCTCTCTTTTGATGTTCAGGGGAAAAAAAATAATAAATTGAAGATTTTTCTCTGCTGTCAAGTTACGTTCATTAGTGCATCCTGGACTGGTTGCCAGCCAATCGCACGGCACGTGTACACATACACTGTCGACAATTTAAATTTACACTGATAGGCAATTTGGACTCTATTTCATCTTTGGAGAAAATCCATACAAACTCAACACGGAGAGGTTGTAAAGGAGATTCAAACCTTGATATCCTGTTTGTGTGGGCAGTCAGGCCACAGTTTTAAACTAAAACAGAAAATCATTTTTTCACTCCCTACATTATTTATTGTTCTCCAAACAAACCGGTACAATCTTTGTAAAGAAATTATTTTCATTATCTTAAATCCGCTCTCACAAGATTATGTAGGTGAACCTAATGATAAGGCCGGTGCGGAATTCTGCCTTTTGTTTCATATCTCGGTGTTTGTGTGTATCCGACTGACCATCGTCAGGTAGGAGCAAGTTAAGCGGCTCGCTCCGGACTCCTCCGTCCCCACGCACATTGCTCGAAGTCATCCACACTGTGTAGTTAGTGCCCCCGATAAGACCAGTCAGAGTCCAGGAGAGGAGCGTGTCCGCTGATACAGGGACGGACCCATCTGAAACCAGAACTTCCTGAAACAGGACAGAATGATATGAGTGGCAATGTTTTTTTCACATCCCCAGGTGAAACGTTCAAAATCCTCCAAGTTTCTTGACAGACACTTGGAAACATAAAGCTTCGGCTCTCTCGGCGGGCTCGTGTGCCTCACCTGTTGGGCCACAGTGCCGTTGTCAGCATAGTAAATTGTATAGCGAAAAATAACGATTCCACTGGGTTCAGCCGGTGGATACCACAGCAAGGTTACAGTGGAGATCGTCACGTTTGCAAAAGTCACATTCTGGGGTGGCTCAAGGGGCTCTGAGACACAAATGATGATCAGAGGCAGTTTCATACAAAGTTAGCAAATGTGTTGACGACACGCTCGTTGCTGTGGCACCTGCATCTGCGATAATGTAGGCCCGCAACCCTCCGTCTCCCAGCCTGGTCCAGCTGGAGACGGACGCGTTGTAGAGACCCTCAAAGTCCATATTTATAACCAATGACGTCGCAGTCACATTGTGCAGCAGATCCATTGTCTCGTTCCTGACAAAAGACGTAAGCGAAACACATTGTAACCATTCTTGCTTGCACATACAGACACCGCATAGGAACTCACCATACTCTGACAACGTAGTAGAGTATGTCCGAATTGGCTTCGAGTGGCGGTTGCCAGGACAGCTCGACCTCAGAGTCGGATAACTTCCTGGCGTGGAGGAATTGAGGAGGTGTGTCTGGAGCTGCGATGTGGGAGAGAAACTGCCCCGTCATGTAACAACAACAACAACAATAGAATCTAGGGAAAACCTGTGGCAATTGAACCTCGAGGATCTTTTGCTGCTAGAATTGAAAAAAATAAAATGGTTAGTTGTCACCCGACCTGATGGAGGAAGAAGCATATGGAAGGAAAAGACGGAGAAAGGAAATAGAGGAATTAAGACCCCGCTCCCTGACTGCTACCCATGATTCCATCCGTCCATCTCACCGTCCTCCAGCGTGGTGATGTTGAGCGGCTGTGTGCTGAAGTTCCCCGGCCCGGCCCGTGTATGTGCCAGCACCGTGACGCGATAGCGCGCATACTTTCTCAAGTGGGTCAGGTGCAGGAAGTTGGTAGGGGAGGTGAGGTTGAGGTAGTGGGTGGAATTCCACAACTCCAAGCTGTAGTGGGTTATGATGCCATTGGGCACCAATGGAGGCAGCCAGGTCACGTTCACCTCGTTGGGACTGAGCGAATCGTAGGAGAGGCTGTATGGAGGGCTGCCCGGCACTGGAAGCAACACAGAAGATTGTCTACTTTCTGATTCTGACGAGACATTCGATTTTTGGAATTTTCCGTCAACCCACCATCCTCCCCAGACAATACACTTAAATAGTCCGAAGTGTGGTTGCCGTGGCCGAAACGTGTGAAGGCCATCACAGAGACGTTATAGTAGGTGAAGGGCCTCAGGTGCGTCAGAGTGACTCTGCTAATGGAGGTGTTCACTGAATTGGAATACGACCGGTTCTCATAGAGGACCGTGTATTGTTGGATCACCCCGTTAGCTTTTACTGGCGCAGACCAGCTCAGGGTGGCAGTTGACGAGCTGGTGTCCAACACGGTGAGGTTTAATGGAGGGGAATCCGGTTCTGAGGGGAAAATAATTGACAGTTACTTCAGCTCATGTGTCAGACTCACTGCAATAGAACGAAATATGCCAGAGTGTGACCAACATTTTTTCATCACTTTATGTTTTACCCCTTATGTTTTACAGCACATCTATTTGGGCAATTCTAGTTCATGTTCCAGACACATACCGTCCTCTAATGTGAAAACCAAGATGCCATCTTCCTGGGATATCAAGCTCTGACCCGCAGCTGTAGACGCCGCCACATGTAGAAAATAACCAGTATACTTTTCCAAATCTGTGAATGACAGATTACAAAGTACACATCTGACACCTGTGTAGAACAGTGTGTTCTCGTAGGATGAGCAACCTACCTGTTATCATTATGCTGGTAGAGTTTGTGACCCACTTCAGACTCTGACCGCTGTGCAGTGCGAGGCCGTAGACGGTGTAATGCGTGATTCGCCCGTTGGGGTTCAGTGGCTCCGCCCAGGTCACAAGTATGGAGGTGGAGCTGATGTTTTGGTAGGAAAGTTCCAGGACTGAGCTGGGGACTACATGACACACATAACCAATAAAATGATTGCTGGAAAAATAATCTGGGATAAAGTAGGGAGCCCGAACGAGTGAACCACAATATATTATATTTTTCGAGCTATGAGGCGCACCAGATTAATTATCTTTGTGAAGCATTGAATGTTAAACAGTTTATTCTAATTCGACTTCTTCTTTCCCCAATCTCCAAGCATGTTCAATTTTTGGGCGGCAGCTATTGGAAGCCGCCTGTGTTGTTCACCTCTCGGTCCCACAGTCTGCAATAATATTGTCCCACACGTTAATATGCTCAGCTCGCATTTAGTCTGACCGTTGCATCAAGGAAGCATTTTTTGCTTGTATGTCATCATTTGTCGACATATGTCAATTTGTAGTTGGTTTGCATGAGTAGTACTACATGTCCCATGATTCTTGGTCACAGAAATTCCAGCATGAGGAAAACATGTATGCCTGACAGTAAAACAATACAGTAGTGTGGTGATACCACAGAGGACAGAACTTTTAGGCTGGTAAACAGTTACGGCAATATACCTTGCTCTCGGGTCTTCTCTGTGATGTCGGCGGCGGGCCCTTCGCCCACCATAGTGGAGGCGGAGACCCGAAACGTATACTCAGTGAAAGGTTCAAGGTCAGACACCAGGTAATAGAGCTCGTCCGTCGACAGGTCCAGCACCTCCTCTCGTACTGTTATGCCTGCAGCATGTCCAGGTGGATAAAAAACGATTTCGGCAATCAGGTCTTGTTGGCTGTTTTGAATCCAGACAGTTGAGAGATTTCATTTGGTATTTCTGTGTGGTACTGTCTTTCCTGTTCAGTTGTCGAGGCTGTACCTGGACTTCCAGAAGCCACCGCACGTCCCGTATTAGATGCGAGACGAGTGGACAAGCGCAAGGTGCCTGAGGTGTGAGTGAGGTAGGATGATTCTGTTGTCAAGTCGTCGTCTGGCATCGTCAGCCAGGGCGGAGGCGTAATAGGCGGCACAGCTGTCGCAGAAAAAGCTGTGGTGGGAGGCTGAAATGAACGGTAAGTATTGCTGGGTGTCTCTGTGACCTTGAGGGCAACAGAGGGGTTAAAATCCTGGATTGCTTGAGCATTGGTCCTTTGCTCAACGCTTCTGAGTTGAGTGAAGGCCGGGTTGAAGGAGGTGATGCTGGTTGACTGTTTGGGATCAAAGGTCCAAGCAGGCTCAGCGTTCCTCTTACGCCGCTCTGGATTGACATCCTGATTGGGGGTGAGTGACTCACCATCATAAGCACCATTTGTGTTGGTATTCTGTGGGGAAGAAATAAAAGGTTTACAGATGATTTTACACCACTCACAAAGAGTCTTTTCAAAGAACCTTTCAAACATTTTGATACCCTCAAATTAAGATGAGCTGTAAATAATATTGTGCATTCTGAAATCACACGTAAAAGCTGAATATCCCTAAAGTTTTGTTGGTTTTGCAGCACAATCATTCGAAAACGAGGCAGCTTACCAGCTCGCCGACGAAGGTGATATCCTGTAACAGAGTGTCGTTCAGCAGGACCTGCAGTCTGTACTGAGTGATCGGACCGTTTGGCTGCGCCGGACTTCTCCAGTTCACACGGACAGAAATGGCATCTTCTGCGATGGCCACCAGGTCTTGAACAGCGCTGGGCGCTAATACCACCAAGGAGGCAGACTGTCAACTGGGGCCATTTTATTTTATTTTATTGTCTCTTGTGAGCTAATTCAGCAAATGCCTTCTTATCAGTTGTCTCTATTGCCCAATTCTCAGTTGTCACCTTCAGCCGACGTCCTCACATCCTCCTGAGCAAGCGGACCCACTTCTCCAGCCGCTTTGGCCCCCAGCTCCACTGTGTACTTGGTGTACGGAACCAGGCCGGTTAATGAGAATCGCATCTCCGATGTGCTGTTTTCGTACAAATATCCTACGAGCAGATGAGTTAAACTATTTCACTGCTCTCTTTTCATGCAGAGTCAATAAGTACTGACCTGTAGGCCCGTACAGGAAGAGCACGTAGGTGAATTTCCCAGTGATGATGGTGGGAGAGTTCCAGGCGAGGGATATCGATCGAGACGTCACGTTCAATAAGGAGAAGTTTTGTGGAGGGTCTTCTGGGGCTGTAATGCACATAGACACAGACAAAATATTTCCCCTCATATATTAAAGAAAACAAAATAACAGAGATAGAGCATTAAATCAATATTGGGCTCATGGACCTGCAGTGTAAAGTCTTAAGTCCCCCCCCCCCCACCCCCGTACCTGACTCCGGCATGCGGACCATGGTGGAGGCAATCTGTCCCTCCCCGTCAGACGTGAAGGCAGACACTTCAAAAAGATAAGCAGTGTAGGGCCGAAGCTGATCGACCCCTACTGAGATGGGCACGCTCCAGGCGGCTGCAGGGGGCACGGCAGTGAGAGTGTAAGGTGGAGACCCCGCCGTCATTTCCAAGGGGCTGATGGTCGCTTGAGACAGAATATCTGCTGCATCCTAAACAAATAAGAACACGCGCGGGTAGAAATGGTCCTGGTATTAATTTTATTGTCTAAGCTGAATGATTGAAGTGAAATGGTCCATTTCGACTTAGTTGGTCCCAAAGTTAGTATTTATTCACTGAAAATCTTTCTTGACCTATCTATGCCAGCGACGTATAGTGACAGTCGGAACAATTACTGGAAATGTTCTTCCATTCAATGGCAAAAGGTTGAATTATGCTGAGTATGCTTTTCTTCAGACCTTGTGCAACTTTGGTGACCAGCCTTCGTATTCGTCTTCTTCAGAGACGTTTGCGAGCAGTTGTCTTGCCAGCAGGCAGATTTGACAGGCGGCATGCGCAGAAAGCCCAGCGACACCAAAACTGCACAATATCTGAACTAAGTCTTTTGTTTGTGTTGGTTTGTTTGTTTAATTGAAGTTGTAAATTGGAATTATTGTGATCTCCAAATATTAAAATACAATTATTTATATATTGCATTATTTTTCATTGCTCAAAATACGTGTCATGGTAATCTTATACTTCAAATGTGCTTTAATAGGCTCAATAAAGGTTGTGAAACACGGATCTACAAATTGGCAGCGGCAGGTCAATTTTAAAGGGCGCACATTGCAGTGAGGCAGCGTCCCCGTCATGATGTCCTCGGCGTTGACCAGCAGGTTCCGCACCGTCTGGCCCGTGCGAGCGAGCTTGGCCTTTACGGCAAACTTTGTGATGAGACCGTTGATGCGGTGGGGGAGGAACCACTTGACCGACACTGAGGTGTGATTCTGGGCAAAGGCGGTTAGGTTGGTCACCAGGCCTGGAGCTACATTCAGCACACACACACACACACACACAATTGTACACACTTCCATAGAGCCATTTCTTAAACGGAGAATCGTGTGTGTGTGAGTACTCACGGGACTCATTGGTGGTTGTGTAGACGGGTTTACTGAATGGTCCCATGCCAGCAGGAGAAGAGGCTGCCACCTAAAGGCGCAAAGTTGGATGGTAGTGCATCACATGAATGCTAACACTGTGATGACATCCCATGAAGTGTACCGTAAGCTTCTTTTTACTTGGTTTGGTGACCTAGTAATGATTCTTAGGTCTAACATGTCCCGGGGACACATGATCTGAAGTTGGCTTTTTAATAGCTTGTATACAAATAGTTGGGTCTCTGGTGTTCGAACCAAAGTTAATCTTTTCCGCTGTTACATAACAGTTTAATAATAAATTTGCTTAATACCAGCCTCCAGACCAAGTTTATTCTCGTACGACCTAGTAGTGATGGTAGGTGAAGATCCAGACCCACTTTTAAGCAAAGGCCAGAGTCCCCCCCATAATGTAGCTGCACCGTCATAGAAACAACCACTCATGAATCTCCCATTGGGGTGATGCCCCTTCTACCATGTCCAAAGCCAAAAGGTAAGCAGAGCTGCATTGAGTTTTATTGGATACCCAGATGAGTGAAATTTTGTTTATGAGACCCCTGTCCTGCCCCCATCCCGAATACTAGGGCTCCACTTGTTCAAAATCATAGCTCCACCCCCTATTGTCATGGTGGTGAAATATTTACTAGCCATTGGCCTAGCGGTGGTTAAAACGGGGTGTGGACCATTCTCCCAAAGTTGGGTAATTTCAGCAAGACAACAAAAAAAAAAAAGCGTTTTTAGTGTGTTGTAATTCTTGATCTTTGGAATATTGTGAGGAAAACATCATAGATATGTTCATAAAACACTTGGGAACCGTTTTAAATTGTGTAAAAGAAAAACAATAACAGGTATCCTTTAACAGCACTGTTGTTGTAATCTGACACACAGAGACACACGCACAAATAGTAGGTCTACATACAGTATAATCACAGTGTGCCACCAAGGCTTTTACAGGACATTTGTATAAGGGTCAGTGTGGGTTAATGAATTCTCCAAACTATCGTCACTTTGTCACTGTCACATTCATTTGGTCATGTGAAAAGAGCCGCAGCTGATCCATAGCTCTGTTTACCTGATTAATAATGCAATTGGGATCAATTACCGACATTGAGCCTGAACGAGAGGCCGCTTGCAGGATGAGAGCGAGATGGATGTTGAACACATTCCAGGTGGACTTAAAAACAACCAAACTGTCTGGCGATTCACTTTACTCCACGTATTGCACCACACTAACAGCCGATTGACACAGAAATCAATAAGGGAATTTGGGTTTCACAGTTTCAGGGTTTAGTGCCTTGCTCAAAGGAAGCATGAAGATCTCTCCAATAACTCACCACATGTTTTTCTCATGCTCCCACAGACTTCAGCAACGTTATATATTTGCACTGTAAACATATGACTCGGGACTACAAAGCAAATGTAGCAGATGAAAGAACTTGAGACTGAAGGGGGTAAATTCACTTGAGGAACAAATGTTGTCTTTGCGCAAGGAACTGAAAACTGAATGAAACCCTGCACTGTCTGGGCATCAGTTTAATTTACAAAATTCTGTACCCGATAACATGGCAAGCTGTCCACTGTAGTAATCGCTGTCTCTGAAAGGGTTAAAATGTCTCGACTATAACATATTGTGACTCGAAGGCCACAGATGTGATTCGCTGATGGGAAGTGGAAGTAATATTCAGTGAAATGGATCAGAAGAAATGCTCATACAAAGTGACAATAAAGGAGTGCAACTATCAAGTTTTATGTATTGCAGCATTAACGTGGAGCGTGTCCTCTGTCACGAGTACCTGAATGTGATACGTGGAACCTGAGGTGAAATCAGTGAGCAGAGTCTCCGGGACATCCAGGTACTTGGTTACTTGTGTGAAGACGGGATCCGGGTAGGGACACACTTCCTTGTACCTAAGAAGTATGAAGACTTCTCAACTCACTGCATACTTATATATTCTGATCCCACATGCATCACTAAGTAGACATACCTGATGACATAGCCGTCAATATCACTGGTATCAGGAGGCATGGTCCAGGAGAGCAGAATCCCGTTGGAGCCTACAGGATGCCCTTTTAGTCTTGAGGGCGGACCAGGAACTGGAGAGCAACGGGTTACTATTCAGTCACTTGAGATGAATCAATTTATGGGTGACATAAAACCATGATTTAAAAAAAATTCCAGTGGTTATAGTGTAGGGTTCCTGATTATATATACCATACATTTTATATTTCTATCATATATATATATATATATATATAT